TGTTCAATCATTTTTGCCAAAAAGTAGACAGCAGATGATAAAATTAGAGAGTATATAAGTAATGTGATTTTAAAGAACAAGACACTATGTATTTGTATATCTTTTTGACAAGCCAGTGGATTCATATATCAACGAAATAAAAACAAACTAGAATTAAACTTTAGATGATAATTAGATAAGAATTTATCCAAGTATATAATAAAGCATTTCTCATAATGCAAAGTTATTCTCAATTCAAAAATAATGCAGAGAATTTTATTCTTTTTCTTAAAATTTATATTTCTTTTTATGATGGATTATATATATATCAATATTAATGTCTCAAAAAATCAATATTAATATTAATTACTATTATATATAATATTTAAAAAACCCATAAACTTCAATGTTGTTTTGACATAGAATCTAATTTATTAAAGTGGAACCAAAAGAAGTCTAAAATAATGCAAATGACAACCAAAAGAAAAGACAAAATAAAGTTAGATCCCGACTTTGGTCTCCAAGCTCATCAACAAGTTCTGTCGTATCTTTAACATTGGGCCCAATACATATTTTGTATTCATTTTATTTCAAAAGGCTATGACACGCCTATAATTCAAATTGGGTAAAAAAAAAAAAAAGTTGTATTTTGAGATCAAGCTTTCAACTACAGTAAATAAAATATATACATCTTTCCGACCAAAAAACAGGTAAGGCTAAGTCTAGATATCATTGACTTTCTGATAAAGTACATGTGATATGTTTCTTATTTATATTTTTAAGTTTTCTTTTACCAGCATTTATATTTTTAAGTTACATTGTTGTTATTTTTATAAGTCCATAATTCAAAAGTTGATATTACATATTTTTTTCATTTTACAAGATAAAATATTAATATTTAGTAAATAGATTTATTTAAATAATTTGAGTATATTAAGAAAATTAAAAAATTATTTAATTTTAACAAATGTAACATGATAAAATATCCTTATATAATATTAGATTATAAATTTTTTAAAAAGTTAAATAAATTAGTTTAAAAAATAATAAATATAAGGGAAAAAAAAGGTATTTTATCAAAAATTTTATGCATGAAAATGACATGAATCAGAGTGTGCATATTTTTCTTTTCAATAAAATTGTCAATGACAATGACAGATTAATTTTCGTTTTTGTTGAGTATTGTGTCAAATCTGTGTTGAATATAATCAATTCCACACTAAATTATATCAAGATATGGAATTACGGTTGAAGATTCCTCCTATATATGTTGACCCTAGTCGTGTCTTTTTGCGTACCGTTAGTGGCAACACGACGAAGCATTTAATATGGCCACATCAAAGTCAAACACCTAATAACTCAACTTTCTTTTTTGACCAGGGAATAACCCGACTTTCTAATATTAAAAGTAGTCTTATTATTCAAAATCTATAGGTAACGTGATTTGTTAAAATTTTTAGCATAAAAATAAATAAAGATAGAAATATAAAAATAAAATAGATATTTTCCACATGCATTGCAAACGGAACGAAATATATAGAGGTACTTTAGCATGATTAATGTAAATTTAAAATTTAATGTACCTTTTTTAACCTAAGAACAATTCATTTCTAGCTAATTCAGTCATACCAAGAAAACCAGTTAAAAGCATTAACTTGATCATAAAAATCAAGTGATTTTCAATAATATTCTTATTAATTATATTAAATTCTGACATCATATTAATTTTTACTCTCTCACATACTACCTATTAAATATAGGTACATATATATTATGTAGATGGAAGAAAATACTTAATAGTCCTTAGAACTATCAATCAAATATCTAATAAAAATAATTTTAAAAAACTTTCAAAAAGTGCCCTATATACAGGATATGATGAGAGGGGGAGAGAGAAAATTACGGAGATGGCAAAGTTGAGGGAAGCCAAGGAAGTGGTACTAGCAATCCTAATTCTGTACTCTGTAGGTCTTGTTTGGGAGAACATGAAGAACCTGAGGAGCCCATTCTTCACCTCCTTTTTGAAGTTCCATTGAGGAAGGCTTGTGTTCATAAATTTGGCCCTCAATGAACAATTGAATTGTCCTCTTCCATTGATCAGCAATGTCTATAACGATAAATTCAACTCACAATTTATGTTATCCAAACAAGACTTAAGCTACCCAAAACATAAAATTTTTCTAAAATTACATATTATACCAACTTCTCCTAATTTTTGCTAGAATTAAGCAAATCTGGATTCCACCTTTTACTTGATAAGACCTTCTTGTGTATATTTCAAAAATTAATAAACCATGAATTTTAATAAAATGCAAGAGAGGTTTATATAATTTATTTTTTAGGTAAAGCTTAAACGATCTCAGATAAAAACAAGTATGAATAATACGACATACTTAAAATTAATCTATCTTAGAAGTCTACACCATGAAACCTTAGAAGTATATAATAATTAGCCGACTTGAAGAATGTGTTGCTTCATGAAAGTAGGTGACAAAGTTCAATGATACCTAAATTGAAAAATGAGATACCAACAAGGGATAATGGGGCCACATAAGCAATTATTTTATTTTACTATTGAGTCAGTTTTAAGTAAGATTTTCGATCTGCAACTTTGGAATCTAATTCTTCGAGTTTAAATTATTACTCCCTATTTTATATTTCCTATCACATGGACCCAAGGGACGACACACATTAAAAAACTGGAGTTTTAATATTTAAAATAACAAGTAGGCCAGATCATTTATCATGTATTTCATAAACAAAATCTGAATATGAAATCTTACATCCTTATGAAAACTTAGCCTAGAAACTATTTTTGACTCCATTAGACTGTGTGAGATGAAGTCAAGAAACGAATAGTGATAGAACTGTGAGCTTCATTCTTAGAATATAACTTCAAAAAATATTATTTTTAAAATTTTAATTAATTTATCAAGATTTTGTTCAAAAAAATAATGCATAAATATTAAAAATAATTATTGAAATAGTTTCGCCTACGCAAATGGGAAAAAGAAAGCCATGCGCGCGCGCGCGCGCACACACTTACACTCTCTTTTGTTGAAAATAAGTCATCCAGCACATTTTTACACTTATTCAAAATGATTCATTCTCTAATAAAAAGAATCAAAGCATCCATCCTAATTTAATTTTGTTCATTTGTAGAATGCAAGGAGGGTGGCTGCTTTTGGAAAAAGAAAAACTATGCACATGTATACACACACATTTACTCCCCCCCTCATAACTCACGCACTCATTATATCCTTCACAGAGAGCTCAAACTCACAATCTCATATTTAAAAATGTTTAAAGGTTGGCGCTTGCTATCATTTGAATAAGGCCTCATCCTCTCTCATACTCATTTTTCTTTTTTATTTTTCTACATATCTCTTTTTCCATTTGATTAAAAAAAAAAAAGACATTTGTATGTGTGAGGATGATTAATTATTACGTGGGGTTCACCAATCCACTTGAAATGACTAGAGTAGAGGCCAACTTCTTGTTCATGAGTACTTTTATGCCACCAATCACTGAGCAGCAAGTTGAATTCTCCACCATAGTGAAATGGTTCTTTCTGTCCCTTTGTTCAATCCACTATAAGTGATCCATACAGCCCTGCTACTCTTTGCATCCCTAAGTGTCCATGATAGAAATATGTCCCGGCCTGCGACAAATCATTATCCCCACTTGGATTAATTATCTTGTATATTAACTAATTACCCCGTCAACTCTAAGTTAATTTCAATGCTTTAATTATATATAAACAAAAATATAAATAAATCCAGCTCAACATAACACGAGAGAGATAGATATATGATAGCAATGATTCGAGTGCTTTTGACATGTAGATCACATAAAAGTGGCACATCATCATATATTTCTATCCATGTCCACGCTTCAGGTAAAATCACTTTAGTTAAAGATTCAAATATAATGAAACCAACTAATTAAGAGATTAGATGGAAATAATAATATCGCTCAATGTGTGTTTGTGTATAATTACCCTATCAACTTTGAATCTGTAATGAAACGTCTCTCCTGGGTTGATAGCACACGGGATATGGAGGCTGTTCCATCAGCCCATGGTGTTCCCACCTGCACAAACACAACAGAAATAAAATATTGAGGAACATTAAACTAAACTATTTCCCCCCCAGTCACTCATAGTTTGATGTTAAAAGCTTAGGTTTATATCGTTTTTATATTAACATTGATCCCTTATTTTCATATAATATTGAGTTATAAACATCAATTTTAAATTTTAAATGATATTAAAAAAATTGAAAACATAAAAATTAAATCATCATGATAATCATAAGATCAAGAAATTATATAAAAATATTAATCAAAATAATAAAATAAAATAATTAATATTAAAAATTGAAGGGGGAAAAAAAAGCTCTGAAATGTGTATATTTGGGCTTGGTTAAAGTCTCCCTTGTGCCGGCCCATATAGTAAATGAATACGGAGAAGTATCGCAGGGACTTCCATTTCCTCTAACATTTTTCCTGTTTTCCTAATTCTTTTCTATTTCCACAACCATTCTTTGAAGCATTTTGATTCATTTGTTAAGTAGGCCTCAAGATTACTAATTTAATACTAACTCCGCTCCTTATTGTAAGAGCTTGTTGACTAATTTGAGTAGATTAAGGAAGCTTGTTAAGTTAATTATTTGTAATAAATAGGTGCTGTCTCCTCCAAAATACACTTGCTAATCAAGTGTATTAGCTTTAACATTTGATGAAACTTTTAGCATGTGCAACTATTACAAAGATCACTTTAGGAAAAATAAATAAATATGAAAGACAAAATGGATTGAAGTTTTATATTTAGTACCAAACTAAAAGTCAAACTAGCTCTTATATTAAGAAATAGAAGTAGTACTATACTTTCTAATTATAGATCTAACATATATAACTAACTCCAAAGACTGCATTATCACATCAATATATTACACCACTACCCATCTGAGATAGAAAACGTTAATGGATGGCAAAGATGGATGGTACGTGAAGAATGAAGATAAATCTTAATCACTATTATTATAGGCTTTTGAACCCGTTACAATTAGGTCATCAATAATCTCCCACTCACTGAACAAGAACAAGGACAAAATTATGAAGGAAAAATTACAACACTACTACATCTCACAAGCATAGAAAATCTCAATAGTCTTAATAGTGATTGTTCTTGTTTATCAGAAATTTGCCTGTATGGCCACAAGTAAGAGCCTCAGTAGGAATTCTCTTCACATATTGAACTCCTTCTGCGAAAATCACACCCATACCCATATGCAAGTGAGGCTCTATATGACAGTGGAAGGCCCAAACTCCTGGGTTATCTGCCTTAAACCTAAGGACAGTCCAACCATGAGGAAATATAACTGCCGTATTTCTCAATGGAGGATTCTTCAAGTTCATTATCCTCTTCATATCTTCGTCCTTAAACTTTCCTTCTCCATACCCTAAAACCCAGAAATCATGTCCATGTAAATGCCAAGGGTGGATCTCACTATTATTCGCACTCAACGTATTTGCGTTCTGTAATATCACATCCACCACTTCATCTTTCTGAAACATGTACACCCCATTTCCTGTTGTTGAATTAGAGTTTTTTGGCGGCACCGTGATGTCATAATCCTCCGGAAAGGTCATTGGCGGAGGTCGTTGGTCGAATGCGTTCTTGAGGTTGAACTTGATAGCGCCTAGGTATGGTGTTGGAGGGAGGGTTAAGGAGACATTGTTGATGGACCATTTGATGAATCCATTGATTCGATTTTGTGTGTTGAGAAGGAGAACTCTTTTGTTTGAGTACTTTGGAGGCTGTGGGGTTCCCATTAGGGCAAGGATTTTCTTAGTGAAGGCTTTGCTTCGTTCAAAATCGTTCCAAAGAGGAGTCACTGGAGGTGGAATTATAGGATATTGTGAGGCAGAGATAGTTTTGTAGTTTAGGATTGTTAGGGCTTGAGTTGTGTCAGGTTTTCGGCCTCGAACTCCAACCGAGACCCAATAGTTTTGGTGAGGGTTTTGGTCAGTGGTTAGGAGGACGGAGTAGCTCTCACCAGAGTATATGTCGATGTCATCCACGGCAAACGGCTGCACATAGTTGCCGTCAGCTTCCACCACCACCAGTTTGTGATTCTAGAGAAATAATATATGATAATTTGGTTAGATGATGAAATTTGTTCGGTCATTTTTGCCAGAAACTAGATAGCCAGATGATGAAATTAGAGAGTATGAAAGTAATGTGATTTTAAAGAACAAGATGCACGTGTATTCGTATATCAGCAAAATAAAAACAAACTAGAACTAAACTTTAGATGATAATTGGATAAGAATTTATGCAAGTATATAATGAAGCATTTCTGATAATGCAAAGTTATTCTAAATTCGAAAATAACTCAGAGAATTTCATTCTTTTTCTTAAAATTTTATATTTCTTTTTATGATGGATTAATTATACATCAATATTAATGTCTCAAAAAATCAATATTAATATTAATTAATATTATATACAATATAAAAAACCCATAAAATTTAATGTTGTTTTCACATAGAATCTAATTTATTAAAGTGATAGAATCTAATTTATTAAAGTGGAACCAAAAGAAGTCTAAAATAATGCAAATGACAACCAAAATAAACGACAATAAAGTTAGATCCAGACTTTGGCCTCCAAGCTCATCAACAAGTAAGTTCTGTCCTGCCTTTAACATTGGGCCCAGTACATATTTTTTATTTATTTTATTTCAAAAGGCTATGACACGCCTGTAACTCAAATTGTGTTAAAAAAGAAGAAGAAGAAGAAAGTTGTATTTTGACTTTTGAGGCCAAGCTTTCAACTACAGTAAATAAAGTTGTATTTTGGATTGGTGTCTGTAATCTTATTGCTTTGACGTATTGAATATATATCTTTCCGGCCCGAAAACAGGTGGGTTTAACTCTCGATATCATTGACTTTCTAATAAGGTACATGTGATCTGTTTCTTATTTACATTTTTAAGGTACATTGTTGTTATTTTTATAAGTCCATATAATTCAAAAGTTGATATTACATATTTTTTCATTTTACAAGATAAAATATTAATATTTAGTAAATAATACGTATTATTAGAAGTTACTTAAATAATTTGAGGATACTAAAAAAATTAAAAATTATTTAATTTTAACAAATGTAACGTGATAAAATATTTTTATGCAATATTAAATTATAAATCTGTTTATAAATTAAATAAATTAGTTTTAAAAAATTATATATGTAAGAGAAAAAAAAGTCTTCAATAAAAAATTTTATGTATGAAAATGACATAAATCAGAGTAAGCAAATCTGTCTTTTCAGTAAAATTTTCAATGACAATGACAGATTAATTTTCATTCTTGTTGAGTATTGTGTCAAATCTACGTTGAAATAATTAATAAATTCCAAACTAAATTATATGTGACTAAACTATACTAGTATCATGATATGGAATCACGGATGATCATTCCTTCTAGATATGTTGACCCTGGCTGTGTCTTTTTGGGTTGGGTACTGTTAGTGACAAGTGACAATACAATAAAGCACTTAATGTGGCCACATCGAAGTCAAACACCTAGCAACTTGACTTTCCAATAAATTCTAATCCCACCATTTCAGTAACAATTATGACCTTTTTTACTTATCATATTATGAGATTCCCTCTTCGTTAATAACAGTATATAGTTTAAAAAATAGTCTTATCATTCATAATCTATCAATAGTGTGATTTGTTAAGTTTTTCCACATAAAAATAGATAAGATGAAAATATAGAAAAAAATAGATACTTTCCACGTGCATTGCATGTGGAATGAAATATATAGGCACTTTAGCATGATTAATGTAAATTTAAAAATTAATCTATCTTTTTTATTCTAAGTACAATTCATTTCTAACTAATTCATACGTACCAAAAAAAAACCAGTTAAAAATATTAATTATTATCATAGAAATCAAGTGATTTTCAATAATATTCTTATTAACTATTCTAAATTCTAATATCATATTAAATTTTACTCTCTCACATATTGCCTATTAAATATAGGTACATATATGTATTATATACATGGAGGAAAATATTTAATAGTCCCTCAAACTATCAATCAAATATCTAATCAAAATGATTAAAAAAACCTTTTAAAAAGTGCCCTGTATAAGGATATGATGAGGGGGGAGAGAGATAAACTTACAGAGATGGCAAAGTTGAGGGAAGCCAACGAAGTGGTACTGGCAATCCTAATTCTGTAGGTCTTGTTTGGGAGAACATGAAGAACCTGAGGAGCACATTCTTCCCCTCCTTTGAAGTTACATTGAGGAAGGCTTGTGTTCATAAATTTGGCCCCCAATGAACAATTGAATTGTCCTCTTCCATTGATCAGCAATGTCTACAATAATGAATTCAACTCATAATTTATGTTATCCAAACAAGACTTGGGCCACCCAAAGTATACATTTTTGCTACAATTACATATTATACCAACTTCTCCTAATTTTTGCTGAAATTAAGCAAATCTCTATTCTACTTTCACTTGATAGGACTGATTTGTGTATAATTTCATTTTTGAGGTAACATTTAAATGATTTCAGATAAAAACAAGTATGATTAATCCAATATATTAAAATGAATAATTTTACAAGTCTCCACCGATCAATCTAAGAGAGAATATAATAATTTGCCGACTTGAAGAATGTGCTGCTTCATGAAAGTAGGGGACAAAGTTCAATGATACCTAAATTAAAAAACCATATCAGCAATTATTTTAATTTTCAGTAAGATTTCGATCTGCAACTTTGGAATCTAATTCTTCGAGTTCAAATTATTCCTCTTTATTTTATGTTTCCTACCACATGGACCCAAGGGACGACACATACATTAATAATAAAAAACTGGAGTTTTAATATTTAAAATAACAAGTAGGCCAGATCATGTATTATGTCTTTTATATATAAATTTTGAATATGAAATCTTAATCTTCTTATAAAAACTACAAACTTAACAAAGAAGCCTAGAAACTATTTCTAGTCTCTATTAGTCTGTGTGAGATGAGGAAGTCAAGAAATGGATAGTGATAGATAGACGAACTGGGAAATTCTTTGGAAGGTAACTTCAAAAGAAAATTGTTTTTTAAAAATTTTTAATTAATTTATCAAGATTTTGTAAAATATATATGTATAAATACAAAAAAAAATAATTATGAAAATACCTGAAAACCCTTATTGAAATAGTTCCACCTACGTAAATGGAAAAGGAGAACTATGCATATACACACACTCTCTCTTGTTGAAAATGAGTCATCTAGCACATTTGTGCACTTATTCAAAATGAGTCATTCTCTAATAAAAAGAATCAAAGCATGCATCTTAATTTAATCTTGTTCATTTATAGAATGCAAGGAGGGTGGCTACTTTTAGGAAAAGAAAAACTAAGCGCATATACGCACACATTTTCTCTCTCTTCTTTTTCCTTTATAAGTCATGCTGTCATGTTATATATAAATATATATATATATATATATTATATAGAGATTTCGAACTCACAATCCCATACTTTAAAATGTGGGCTTGGTGGCATTTGAATAGGATCTCATCCTCTCTCATACTCATTTTTCAATTTTATTTTTCTACATCTCTCTTTTTCCGTTTGATAGGGGCAAAGAAAAGAAAAAGATATTTGTATGTGTGAGGATGATTAATTATTACCTGGGGTTCACCAATCCACTTGAAAGGATTAGAGGAGAGGCCAACTTCTTGTTCATGAGTGCTTTTATGCCACCAATCACTGAGCAACAAGTTGAATTCTCCATCATAGTGAAATGGTTCTTTCTGTCCCTTTGGCAAATCCACTATAAGCGATCCACACAGCCCTGCTGCTCTTTGCATCCCTAAGTGTCCATGATAGAAATATGTCCCAGCCTGCGCCAAATCATTATCCCCACTTGGATTATGTTATATATTAACTAGTTACCCCACAACTCTAAAATTCCGATACTTAAATTATATGAACCAAAACATAAGTAAATCCCTCTCAATACAACGAGAGATAGATACATGATCCTAATGATTTGATTGCTTCTGACATGTCGATCATGTAAAAGTGAAAAACATCATTATATATGTCTATCTCCACTCTTCGGGTGAAATCACTTTAGTTAAAGATTCAAAGATAATAAAACCAACTAATTAAGAGCTTAGATGGAAATAATAATATAGCCCAATGTGTGTGTTTGTGTGTGTAATTACCCTATCAACTTTGAATCTGTAATGAAATGTCTCTCCTGGGTTGATAGCACACTGGGATATGGAGGCTGTTCCATCAGCCCATGGTGTTCCCACCTGCACAAACAAAACATAAATAAAATATTGAGGAACATTAAACTAAACTTTCCCCCCAATCACTCATAGTTTGATGTTAAAAGGTCAGGTTTACATCGTTTTTATATTGTTGCTTTATATATATATATATATATATATATATATAAAATATTTAGCCCTCCATTACTGACCGTTGCTTTCAGAAATTTTATTGTTACAAATTATTTCCTATGTATTTATGTACAATATAAAATTTACATCCGAAAAGCTGCAACCCGTAGATCTAGGTTTAAATATTCTCTTTTCTATTGATCTCCATCTAAATTACACACCTAGCCACCTTTTTCATCGTTTTATACATTCACGAGTGCTTGTTGTTAGTGACAGAGAGAGAGAAACGGCTAGCTTCTAAACAAACACTCATGTAACAACGCTGCAAAATTCAAAAACTCTTGCTATTTTATATAGCTCTCCCTTCCAATAAATATATATGCGTGCGTGTATGCATGTATATATATGTATGGATCTATATGTATGGGGTATCAGAAACTAACCTGTCTAATTCCATGCCAATGAATGACGGTTCCCTCAGTGAAAAGCTTGTTGGTGAGGGCGATGTCGAGGGTGTCGCCGGCCTCGGCGCGGATGGTTGGGCCGGGGAACTGGCCGTTGATCCCCATCACAGCATGCTCCAAGCAGTCCACATTCTTATAAATGTACTCCACATCGAACTGGTAATGCCTCACCCTTGCTTCTACTGATGACTCAAACAATAATAAACACATCAAAACGCACCATAGCATCACAGTTTTGAAGCCCTCCATTGTCGTCTTAGTGAAGGGAACTCAAGGTCTGAGAGAAACTGAGCAAGGAGGAAGAGGAAGGAGAAAGAAGAAGTTATGTGATGAAAGAACATTAAATGGAGGTTTATATATTTGAGAACTCGAGGACCTCCTTGAAACTTTTTCTTCGCATGCCTGTAAAGATTGTAAAAATATCTTCTTCTTTTTTTTTTTGAACATTTTTGTAGAAATAGAGTTAATATTTTATAGACACAGCCAATTATAACTTTGTTTCTGAAGGCACAGCCTTCCACGTGCGGCATTGCTTGATTGGCGTGCTCATCTAATGGATTTGTTCAAATAACATTTTGACAATAGTGTTAAAGTTGTGTGAATATTAAAATGTATAGATACCAGATATTTATGTTATTTAGAGATAGATGAAAAGTAGAAGAAAAAAACTAAAAAATTTCAAGATGAAAGTGCGTCTTTATATCTTTTTAACTTTTGGCTTGATTCTAATCTCTTAATTTTATAAAGTGCTTTTTCAATCCTCCAACACTAATATAGTTAGTTTCATTAATAAAAAAATCTAAAAATTAAAATTTTGAATATTAATAAGACATCATCAAATATTAGCATATTAAGGTACCAATGAAGATTGGATCAAATGGAAGAGGTTAATTCCTCACAACGTGGTGAATCAAAACTTAAATCCCCACTAGAAGTTTAGTACTAACGGTGTTTCGAATAGAATTGTTTTTGATAGAAGATTAAAATTTTATATATGTTTATATACTTTATAAAATTAAACTGTGACCAAACTAAAATTTTACATAAAATCAGAAGAGTAAAAGTGTATTTTTATTTAATTTTAATAAATCACGTATCATCTCAATATCAATCAACATTTAGTATCAGCTAAAAAAAAAGATAACATTTAGTGAAAAAAACAAATTGGACAACTCATATTTTAGACTTTAGTATGATCTACGAGACCTACCAAATTTATTAAAGAAAAATAAAGAGAAGCCATCATTGACAGATAAAAAGTAATGATGTTCCAAATCCTTCATTTTCTCACCTAATCACATCCTTGATATTTTTATATATTAGTTCATTCAAAAGGTTACTCCTGGACTATTTCAAATTTTGAGTCATATTTGTTGTTCCCTAGCTAATTACTGTTTTATCCGACGTTATATTAATATTCTTCAATATAATTTGCATGCATGTTTTGTCCGATGTTTTGTGGTTGTAAGAACGAGGTCAAAAAAAGATCGTTGTAAGAATAATATTCGAAGCAACAAAAAATTGAAATCCTATAATAAATTTACACTAAAAATTTATTTATTTATTTATTTTTTTTGCCAACACACTAAAAATTTATTTTAATTGTATGTATACCGGAATTCTTTGGTATAAATATAGAAGAAAAATACACGTTTTGAATAGGCGATCATTTGATTATGTGATTGATAATTTCAAGATGAATTATTGAGAACTTATAATTTAATATATATTTTATTATTTTTGTGTTTTTTCTTATATAGCTTAATAGTTCATTATTTACTCGTATGTACACTCTCCGCCGTTAAATAAATATAGTACACAAGTTTTTAACTGATATCCTTTTCATATTATATAGTTGGTCTTAAAAAATTTATTTTAAAAAAATATTCATGCTTAATGATTTGTCCATGCCTTAATAATTTTTTTTAAAAAATCCTACTTAATTTGGAATAGATTTAAAATTTTAAAAATGTTCAGATAAAAAATCCGCATAATTTTAACAACTATATATTATATTTGAGAACGGATGGAGTATCTTTATTTTGTACTCTTTATTATCATTAATTTGTATTATTAGTATCTTTATTTTGTACTCTTTATTATCATTAATTTGTATGATTAGGATCTATATTATCATTAATTTGTATGATTTATTTATTATTTTCTTTTTTGATAAACTTGTGTGATTGCTTTTGGCCACACATAACATTTAATTTCTCTTTGATTAATCCTAGTCCACATGAGTTGTTTTTTTTTTTTAACCAGCCCACATGAGTTGTTGTACCTAATATAATATATTAGTAGTATAATAACACGTGACCCAATGTTCTCGATTAATCCTAGTCCACTTAATTAACCCTAGTATTAATTCATTACTATTTTTTTTAGTACTAAAATATCCTTTCTTTGGTTCACGTACTTTTAATTGTCTTTTTTGGCAACATGTACTTTTAATTATGTTATATGGAATACAGCCTGTTTTCTCTATACAAGAATATATATGGACCTTGCGTGTCTGCGATGCAAAAATGAATCTCTTTTATTGTCGGTCTATAGCTACGTAAAATAATCCATATGGATATGCTTTTTATATATATATATATATATATATATAATATTCCATTTTTAAAAAATTATAATATATATACTACCTCTAATTCTTGATATAAAAGCTGGTTTAACATTCAATTTAGTCTTAAATATAACACTTCAATTCACTATATCTTTCATATTTAACTATTTTTTCTAAGCTAGTCCTTACAGTAGTTGTATATATTAAAAGTTTCATCAAATAGTAATTATAGTTAATATACATGATTAGTAAAGATATTTTAAAGAAGACAATATATATTTATTATAAATAACTAACTTAACTAATTTTTTTAATCTATTTAAATTAATTAATTAGCTTTTATATAAAAAAAAAGAAAGTAATATAATATTTTTGAAGAAATTTTCAGGAAAAAAGCTTCGTAATTTTGACTCACTTTTCACTTTTCATTTTTTTTAGCTTTTTCATAAAGTAAAGAAATACAAATTCATTTATAGGTTTACTTAAGTAGGCTTTTCATTCGTTGGACAAAGTCTATAAATCATAGTACTTCATAGTAGTATTTGTTGATTAACATTACATATGTTTGTGTGTGTATAGCCACACTACCTCTCATAGTTAATATGAAACGTAGTTAACTAATTTGGAGAAACTAAAAAGGTTACTAAATTATTTCAAAGTATTTATATTTAACATTTTTTTCTAATTTAATTTGCATCATTTATAAATTGATATATGATTTACTGATACACATAAGTATTTTAGAGAGATCACGTAACATATACAATCATTTAAAAGTAATTTAGTAACTTTCATAATCTTTTTAAATTAGTTAACTAAATCTTATATTAAGAACCGAAAATAGTATGTATCAATGGTCAAAGAGGCGTGGTTTAAACTACACAATTAAATCTCGAGAAAAGTGGGGGAAATTTTCATATTAAAAATTTTATTAGTGAGAACAACTTGACAAATTTTTATACACACAAAATATCAGTGTTATATTCTAAAAATTTTATACACACTAGATATTTTGATTTAAGTCTTTCTTACAGATTAAAAAAAAAATTTCTTTATATGCCCTGTTTGGTAGCAGGAAACTGAGAAGTGAAAGTAGAAGTGGAATTGGGATATTTTGATTTAAGTCTTCATTTGTTTGTTGGACTGAAAGTCAGTTCCATGGAACTCCCCCGGGAACTGGATTACTTCTATAAAACTCAGAATTTTTAGACTATTATACCCTTAATAATTTAACATATTGCCAGCTTTGTCCTTTTCTTTTATACCCCATTCCATCTTCTCCTCCCACCTCAACGAGCCTTCTCCGGCGTTCAGCGTCCCCACCTTCCGCAATCTCCGGTGTCCCCATCCCCAACCTCCGCAATCTCAGGCGTCCCCATCTCCCACCTTCTGTCGTTGCTGATGGCTCTAGCATGATTTTCGTTCCATTTAGATTGTAATTTTTGCCCAAGTTTTGTGTGGTTTTGACTGCGCCCTTCTCAAAGTGTTCTTTGATGGCGGTGGTTGTATGTGGCGGAGCCATTTTTTGGGGGTATTTTAGTATTTTCATATTAAAAATACATATTTTAATTAAAAATTATATCACACTTCCATCAACTTGCCAAACATGTTTTAAAACTCACTTCTACTTCTATCAAAAACTCTTCCACTGTACCAAATGAGGCATAAATGTATTGAATCAAATCCCAAGCTTAGTAATCGAATGGAAAAAATAAATTGAAGCAGAATAAAAAATATTACCAAGTTGAAATATTTTAACAATAAAATTATTTTTTTTCATTTGTTCAATCAACGAGGCACACGGCTTCCGAAAAGGGATATTTAATTACTATTTATAAATATAATAATCAATGATGAATTTAGCTTTAAGAAAATATCCCAGCTTTGGCACACCACGTTTGCACCGTCACATTCAAATCAATAAAATAAAAGATGTGACCACCACATTGCCACAATCCTATGTGCGTCTTGTGAGTTGTATCTCACTAACAACATAATGTCACTTTTATAATCATTATCTTTTATTTGTGTGATAATTGTGTGTTATTGCTCATGATTCTTTTGCGCCAGCATCTCCATAACTTTTGCTTTAATTAATGGTTTGATTAATCTCATTTCTTATTTGGAACAATTGGTTATACCCAACGTAGCATCTCCTAAATGGCACTAATTAATTGCTAATGACCAATAATTGAGTCCACGCAGCTTATTGTTTAATAATAAAGTTTAATGATAAAGTTACGTATTTAAAGAGTTTATTCTTATATGGTCATATTTATAAGGCAAAGCAATTTTATTTTTTATCTTATTTATAACCCATGTTATTAAATTTTTCATATGATTGTAGAATTATACCATTTATTTATTATTTATGACAACTAGCTATTAAATTATACTCATCTAATCATATTTATAAATCACTCCAAGCATGTCTCACCAGAATCAAGATACATCTTAAACCTCATTTTGTCTTAAAATTTGATTTTTTTTAACTTTATTCTTATTTAATATATGCATTTTTAATGAAGGTTAAAATGATACGTTTACATAAGAAAAATTTAAATGATGTAACTTATGAGTAATTCCAAGATAATTCAAAAGTTGATATTACATATTTTTTCATTTTACAAGATAAAATATTAATATTTAGTAAATAATACGTATTATTAGAAGTTACTTAAATAATTTGAGTATACTAAAAAAATTAAAAATTATTTAATTTTAACAAATGTAACGTGATAAAATATTTTTATGCAATATTAAATTATAAATCTGTTTATAAATTAAATAAATTAGTTTTAAAAAAATTATATATGTAAGAGAAAAAAAAGTCTTCAATAAAAAATTTTATGTATGAAAATGACATAAATCAGAGTAAGCAAATCTGTCTTTTCAGTAAAATTTTCAATGACAATGACAGATTAATTTTCATTCTTGTTGAGTATTGTGTCAAATCTACGCTGAAATAATTAATAAATTCCAAACTAAATTATATGTGACTAAACTATACTAATATCATGATAATGGAATCACGGATGATCATTCCTTCTAATATGTTGACCCTGGCTTTGTCTTTTTGGGTTGGGTACTGTTAGTGACAAGTGACAATACAATAAAGCACTTAATGTGGCCACATCGAAGTCAAACACCTAGCAACTGACTTTCCAATAAATTCTAATCCCACCATTTCAGTAACAATTATGACCTTTTTTACTTATCATATTATGAGATTCCCTCTTCGTTAATAACAGTATATAGTTTAAAAAATAGTCTTATCATTCATAATCTATCAATAGTGTGATTTGTTAAGTTTTTCCACATAAAAATAGATAAGATGAAAATATAGAAAAAAATAGATACTTTCCACGTGCATTGCATGTGGAATGAAATATATAGGCACTTTAGCATGATTAATGTAAATTTAAAAATTAATCTATCTTTTTTATTCTAAGTACAATTCATTTCTAACTAATTCATACGTACCAAAAAAAAAACAGTTAAAAATATTAATTATTATCATAGAAATCAAGTGATTTTCAATAATATTCTTATTAACTATTCTAAATTCTAATATCATATTAAATTTTACTCTCTCACATATTGCCTATTAAATATAGGTACATATATGTATTATATACATGGAGGAAAATATTTAATAGTCCCTCAAACTATCAATCAAATATCTAATCAAAATGATTAAAAAACCTTTTAAAAGTGCCCTGTATAAGGATATGATGAGGCGGAGAGAGATAAACTTACAGAGATGGCAAAGTTGAGGGAAGCCAAGGAAGTGGTACTGGCAATCTAATTCTGTAGGTCTTGTTTGGGAGAACATGAAGAACCTGAGGAGCACATTCTTCCCCTCCTTTGACGTTACATTGAGGAAGGCTTGTGTTCATAAATTTGGCCTGGCCCCAATGAACAATTGAATTGTCCTCTTCCATTGATCAGCAATGTCTACAATAATGAATTCAACTCATAATTATGTTATCCAAACAAGACTTGGGCCACCAAAGTATACATTTTTGCTACAATTACATATTATACCAACTTCTCCTAATTTTTGCTGCTGAAATTAAGCAAATCTCTATTCTACTTTCACTTGATAGGACTGATTTGTGTATAATTTCATTTTGAGGTGACATTTAAATGATTTCAGATAAAAACAAGTATGACTAATCCAATATATTTAAAATAATTAATTTTACAAGTCTCACCGATCAATCTAAGAGAGTATATAATAATTTGCCGACTTGAAGATTGTGTTGCTTCATGAAGTAGGGGACAAAGTTCAATGATACCTAAATTAAAAAACCATATCAGCAATTATTTTATTTTACTATTGAGTGTTCAGCAAGATTTCGATCTGCAACTTTGGAATCTAATTCTTCGAGTTCAAATTATTCCTCTTTATTTTATGTTTCCTATCACATGGACCCAAGGGACGACACATACATTAATAATAAAAAACTAGATTTTTAATATTTAAAATAACAAGCAGGCCAGATCATGTATTGTGTATTTTATATATAAATTTTGAATATGAAATCTTAATCTCCTTATAAAAACTACGAGCTTAACATAGAAGCCTAGAAACTATTTTTAGTCTCCAGTTCGTCTATCTATCACTATTCAAGAAATGAATAGTGATAGATAGACGAACTATGAAATTCATTCTTTAGAAGATAACTTCAAAAGAAATTGTTTTTTAAAAATTTTTAATTAATTTATCAAGAATTTGTAAAAATATTATATGTATAAATACAAAAAAAATAATTATGAAAATACCTGAAAAACCCTTATTGAAATAGTTCCACCTACATAAATGGAGTTGTGAAAATGAGTCATCTAGCACATTTGTACACTTATTCAAAATGAGTCATTCTCTAATAAAAAGAATGAAAGCCTGCATCTTAATTTAATCTTGTTCATTTATAGAATGCAAGGAGGGTGGCTACTTTTAGAAAAGAAAAAACTATGCGCATATGCGCACACACTTTCTCTCTCTTCTTTTTCCTGCAACTCACGCTCTCATATATATATATAGAGAGAGAGATTTCGAACTCACAATCCCATACTTTAAAATGTGGGCTTGGTGGCATTTGAATAGGATCGCATCCTCTCTCATACTCATTTTTCTATTTTATTTTTCTACATCTCTCTTTTTCCTTTTGATTAAAGAAAAAAGAAAAAGATATTTGTATGTGTGAGGATGATTAATTATTACCTGGGGTTCACCAATCCACTTGAGAGGATTAGAGGAGAGGCCAACTTCTTGTTCATGAGCGCTTTTATGCCACCAATCACTGAGCAACAAGTTGAAATCTCCATCATAGTGAAATGGTTCTTTCTGTCCCTTTGGCAAATCCACTATAAGCGATCCATACAGCCCTGCTGCTCTTTGCATCCCTAAGTGTCCATGATAGAAATATGTCCCAGCCTGCACCAAATCATTATCCCCCCTTGGATTAATTATGTTATATATTAACTAGTTACCCCACAACTCTAAAATTCCAATACTTAAATTATATATGAACCAAAACATAAATAAATCCCTCTCAATACAACGAGAGAGATAGATACATGATCGCAATGATTCAATTGCTTTTGACATGTAGATCATGTAAAAGTAGAAACATCATTATATATGTCTATCTCCACTCTTCGGGTAAATCACTTTAGTTAAAGATTCAAAGATAATAAAACCAACTAATTAAGAGATTAGATGGAAATAATAATATAGCTCAATGTGTGTGTTTGTGTGTGTAATTACCCTATCAACTTTGAATCTGTAATGAAATGTCTCTCCTGGGTTGATAGCACACTGGGATATGGAGGCTGTTCCATCAGCCCATGGTGTCCCCACCTGCACAAACAAAACATAAATAAAATATTGAGGAACATTAAACTAAACTTTTCCCCCCAATCACTCATAGTTTGATGTTAAAAGGTAGGTTTACATCGTTTTTATATTGTTGCTTATATATATATATATATATATATATATATAATATTTAGCCCTCCATTACTGACCGTTGCTTTCAGAATTTTATTGTTACAAATTATTTCCTATGTATTTATGTACAATATAAAATTTACATCCGAAAAGCTGCAACCTATAGATCTAGGTTTAAATATTCTCTTTTCTATTCATCTCCATCTAAATTACACACCTAGCCACCTTTTTCATCGTTTTATACATTCACGAGTGCTTGTTGTTAGCGACAGAGACAGAGAGAGAGAGAAACGGCTAGCTTCTAAACAAACACTCATGTAACAACGCTGCAAAATTCAAAAACTCTCACTATTTTATATAGCTCTCCCTTCCAATAAATATATATGTGTGTGTATGCATGTATATATATGCACGGATCTATATGTATGGGGTATCAGAAACTAACCTGTCTAATTCCATGCCAATGAATGACGGTTCCCTCAGTGAAAAGCTTGTTGGTGAGAGCGATGTCGAGGGTGTCGCCGGCCTCGGCGCGGATGGTTGGGCCGGGAACTGGCCGTTGATCCCCATCACAACATGCTCCAAGCAGTCCACATTCTTATAAATGTACTCCACATCGAACTGGTAATGCCTCACCCTTGCTTCTACTGATGACTCAAACAATATAAACACATCAAAACGCACCATAGCATCACAGTTTTGAAGCCCTCCATTGTCGTTTTGGTGAAGGGAGTTCAAGCTCGAGAGAAACTGAGCAAGGAGGAAGAGGAAGGAGAAAGAAGAAGTTATGTGATGAAAGAACATTAAATGGAGGTTTATATATTTGAGAACTCGAGGACCTCCTTGAAACTTTTTCTTCGCATGCCTGTAAAGATTGTAAATATCTTTTTTTTTTTTTGAAAATTTTTTGTAGAAATAGAGTTAATATTTTATAGACACAGCCAATTATAACTTTGTTCTGAAGGCACAGCCTTTCACGTGCGGCATTGCTTGATTGGCGTGCTTATCTAATGGATTTGTTCAAATAACATTTTGACAATAGTGTTAAAGTTGTGTGAATATTAAAATGTATATAAACCAGATATTTATGTTATTTAGAGATAGATGAAAAGTAGAAGAAAAAAACTAAAAAATTTCAAGATGAAAGTGCGTTTTTATATCTTTTTAACTTTTGGTTTGATTCTAATCTCTTAATTTTATAAAGTGCTTTTTCAATCCTCCAACACTAATATAGTTAGTTTCATTAATAAAAAAATATAAAAATTAAAATTTTAAATATTAATAAGACATCATCAAATATTAGCATATTAAGGTACCAATGAATATTGGATCGAATGAAAGAGGCTAATTCCTCACAACGTGGTGAATCAAAACTTAAATCTTTAATAGAAGTTTAGTACTAACGGTGCTTCGAATAGAATTGTCTTTGATAGGAGATTAAAATTTTATATATGTTTATATACTTTATAAAATTAAACTGTGACCAAACTAAAATTTTACATAAAATCAGAAGAGTAAAAGTGTATTTTTATTTAATTTTAATAAATCACGTATCATCTCAATATCAATCAACATTTAGTATCAGCTCAAAAAAAAGATAACACTTAGTGGAAAAACAAATTGGACAACTCATATTTTCGACTTTAGTATGATCTACGAGACCTACCTAATTTATTAAAGAGAAATAAAGAGAAGCCATCATTGACAGATAAAAAGTAATGATGTTCCAAATCCTTCATTTTCTCACCGAATCACATCCTTGATATTTTTATATATTAGTTCATTCAAAAGGTTACTCCTGGACTATTTCAAATATTTTGAGTCATATTTGTTGTTCCCTAGCTAATTACTGTTTTATCCGGCGTTATATTAATATTCTTCAATATAATTTGCATGCATGTTTTGTGCGATGTTTTGTGGTTGTAAGAACGAGGTCAAAAAAAAAATCGTTGTAAGAATAATATTAGAAGCACCAAAAAATGGAAACCTATAATAAATTTACACTAAAAATTTATTTTAATTGTATGTATACCGGAATTCTTTGGTATAAATATAGAAGAAAAATACACGTTTTGAATAGGCGATCATTTGATTATGTGATTGATAATTTCAAGATGAATTATTGAGAAATTATAATTTAATATATATTTTATTATTTTTTGTTTTTTTCGTATATAGCTTAATAGTTCATTATTTACTCGTATGTACACTCTCCGCCGTTAAATAATATAGTACACAAGTTTTTAACTGATATCCCTTTCATATTATATAGTTGGTCTTAAAAAATTTATTTTAAAAAAATTCATGCTTAATGATTTGTCCATGCCTTAATAATTTTTAAAAAAATCCTACTTAATTTGGAATAGATTTAAAATTTTAAAAATGTTCAGATAAAAATCTGCATAATTTTAACAACTATATATTATATTTGAGAACGGATGGAGTATCTTTATTTTGTACTCTTTATTATCATTATTTGTATTATTATATCTTTATTTTTGTACTCTTTATTATCATTAATTTGTATGATTAGGATCTTTATTTGTACTCTTTATTATCATTAATTTGTATGATTTATTTATTATTTTCTTTTTGATAAACTTGTGTGATTGCTTTTGGCCACACATAACATTTAATTTCTCTTTGATTAATACTAGTCCACATGAGTTGTTTTTTTTTTTTTAACCAGCCCACATGAGTTGTTGTGCCATATATAATATATTAGTAGTATAATAACACGTGACCCAATGTTCTCGATTAATCCTAGTCCACTTAATTAACCCTAGTATTAATTCATTACTATTTTTTTTAGTACTAAAATATCCTTTCTTTGGTTCACGTACTTTTAATTGTCTTTTTTGGCACATGTACTTTTAATTATATTATATGGAATACAGCCTGTTTTCTCTGTACAAGAATATATATGGACCTTGCGTGTCTGCGATGCAAAAATGAATCTCTTTTATGGTCGGTCTATAGCTACGTAAAATAATCCATATGGATATGCTCTATATTTATATATATATATAAATATTCCATTTTAAAAAAAATTATAATATATATACTACCTCTAATTCTTGATATAAAAGCTAGTTTAACATTCAATTTAGTCTTAAATATAACATTTCAATTCACTATATTTCTCATATTTAACTATTTTTTCTAAGCTAGTCCTTATAGTAGTTGTATATATTAAAACTTTCATCAAATAGTAATTCTAATTAATATACATGATTAGTAAGGATATTTTAAAGAAGACAATACATATTTATTATAAATAACTAACTTAACTAATTTTTTTAATCTATTTAAATTAATTAATTAGCTTTCATATTAAAAAAAGAAAGTAATATAATATTTTTGAAGAAATTTTCAGGAAAAAAGCTTCGTAGTTTTGACTCACTTTCATAAAGTAAAGAAATACAAATTCATGCATAGGTTTACTTAAGTAGGCTTTTTATTCGTTGGACAAAGTCTAAAAATCATACTTCATAGTAGTATTTGTTGACTAACATTACATATGTTTGTGTGTATATAGTCACACTACCTCTCATATTTAATATAAAAAGTAGTTAACTAATTTGAAGAAACTAACAAAGTTACTAAATTATTTTAAAGTATTTATATTTAACATTTTTTTCTAATTTAATTTGCATCATTTATAAATTGATATATAATTTAATGATACACATAAGTATTTTAGAGAAATCACGTAACATATGCAATCATTTAAAAGTAATTTAGTAACTTTCATAATCTTTTCAAATTAGTTAACTAAATCTTATATTAAAAACCGAAAATAGTATGTATCAATGGTCAAAGAGTCGTGGTTTAACAATACAAATAAATCTTGAGAAAAGTGGGGAAATTTTCATATTAAAAATTTTATTAGTGAGAACAACTTGACAAATTTTTATACACACAAAATATCAGTGTTATATTCTAAAAATTTTATACACACTAGATATTTTGATTTAAGTCTTTCTGACAGATAAAAAAAATTTTCTTTATATGCCCTGCTAGAAACTGAGAGGAAGGAAGTGAAAGTAGAAGTGGAATTGGGATATTTTGATTTAAGTCTTCATTTGTTTGTTGGACTGAAAGTCAGTTCCATGGAACTCCCCCGGGAACTGGATTACTTCTATAAAACTCAGAATTTTTAGACTATTATACCCTTAATAATTTAACATATTGCCAGCTTTGTCCTTTTCTTTTATACCCCATTCCATCTTCTCCTCCTACCTCAACGAGCCTTCTCCGGCGTTCAGCGTCCCCACCTTCCGCAATCTCCGGTGTCCCCATCCCCAACCTCCGCAATCTCAGGCGTCCCCATCTCCCACCTTCTGTCGTTGCTGATGGTTCTAGCATGATTTTCGTTCCATTTAGATTGTAATTTTTGCCCAAGTTTTGTGTGGTTTTGACTGCGCCCTTCCCACAGTGTTCTTTAATGGCGGTGGTTGTATGTGGTGGAGCCTTTTTTTTGGAGGTATTTTAGTATTTTCATATTAAAATACATATTTTAATTAAAAATTATATCACACTTCCATCAACTTGCCAAACATGTTTTAAACTCACTTCTACTTCTATCAAAACTCTTCCACTGTACCAAATGAGGCATAAATGTATTGAATCAAATCCCAAGCTTAGTAATCGAATGGAAAAAATAAATTGAAGCAGAATAAAAATATTACCAAGTTGAAATATTTTAACAATAAAATTATTTTTTTTCATTTATTCAATCAACGAGGCACACGGCTTCCGAAAAGGGATATTTAATTACTATTTATAAATATAATAATCAATGATGAATTTAGCTTTAAGAAAATATCCCAGCTTTGGCACACCACGTTTGCACCGTCACATTCAAATCAATAAAATAAAAGATGTGACCACCACATTGCCACAATCCTATGTGCGTCTTGTGAGTTGTATCTCACTAACAACATAATGTCACTTTTATAATCATTATCTTTTATTTGTGTGATAATTGTGTGTTATTGCTCATGATTCTTTTTCGCCAGCATCTCCATAACTTTTGCTTTAATTAATGGTTTGATTAATCTCATTTCTTATTTGGAACAATTGGTTATACCCAACGTAGCATCTCCTAAATGGCATTATTTAATTGCTAATGACCAATAATTGAGTCCACGCAGCTTATTGTTTAATAATCAAGTTGCGTATTTAAAGAGTTTATTCTTATATGGTCATATTTATCTTATTTATAACCCATGTTATTAAATTTTTCATATGATTGTAGAATTATACCATTTATTTATTATTTATGAGAACTAGCTATTAAGTTATACTCCTCTAATCATATTTATAAATCACTCCAAGCATGTCTCACCAGAATTAAGATACATCTTAAACCTCATTTTGTCTTAAAATTTGATTTTTTTAACTTTATTCTTATTTAATATATGTATTTTTTAATGAAGGTTAAAATGATACGTTTACATAAAAAAATTTTAAATGATGTAACTTATGAATAATTCCAAAAAAAAATTAGTTATTTATATATATATTAATTTGCTTAAAATAATACTTTAATCATTTCAAAGTGGATTAATGTTTTACTTTAGGATGGAATGCAATAAAAACATTCATAGCTCATGATCATCTTCACTATGCATGTAAAATCTAAATAAGATTTAGTTTACGATTGCATAAAATAAAAAGGGATATGATCCTGCTAATTGCCTTTTTTTCTCACAAAGATTTTTTTTTTTTTTTAAGCACAGGTATCCTTTTATTAGGGACAATTCTATTTGAGGTATTGTCAGACACTAAATGTGAGCACCTCTCTCAACTGGGATTTGAACCTTAGTTCATCACATCGTGAGAGACTAGTCTCTTCAGCTGGATCAAACCTCTATGGGTCATACGCATTAATGCTCAAGACAAAGGTTACTCTAGTTAAAATAAAATATAAATATAATCTATTTATGTCTTTTGTGGAGATACAAGAAAAATATGGAATTTATAAATTCTTCTTAATTTTTATTACTTTTGTTAATGCATGAAAATAAAAGCATTAAAGCATACACTATTTACCTTGTTCGAGTATATTATTAAATTAATATATTTATCCCTCATATTTCGAATTTATTTGTATATATTATTATTTATTTATTTAATTTCCCTCGTATAAATATAATGGAGCATGGAGCTTTTGATCTCCAATTATTATTTGTCAGCGCGCATGCTTTAATCTCTTTTCAATCCATCTAGGAGCTTCGACTTCATTTTATTTATACATTTATTCATATCATTGATACTCGTTTTGAAAAGAAAAACTAGTTAAAATTAATCACTCTCATTGAATATGTCCATGTTTTCAATTATTTTCGCAAATGGCACTTCCTCAGTATAGTTTACTAAACTGGCACTTCCTTCAGTCTGAAACTCCTAATTATAAAGCAAAGTTTCTTTAATCCGATATATATATATATATATATATATATAGCAAAGATATGGAGTTTATATATATTTTTCTCAGTCATGCTGTCCCTTTATTTATTGTTGTTCTCGTTATTTTTCTCTGAGTTTGAGAATGCTAAGTTGCCAACCATCATCGCTTATCCTATGTTTGGTGTGAGAGAATTGAAGGAGGGGAGAAAAAATTTTAAGCTCAATTTTAAAAATTAGAAAAGAGAGATTATAGTAAAAAAGAAAATACAAGGTAAAAGAACGAGCAAAATTAACTTAAAATTTTAAGCCCACTTCTTTAATTTTTTAAATTGAGCTCATTAATTTTTTTTGCCATGTTTCCCTTCATTTTGTTTCCCTCATGCCAAACGGAAAAAATTGTGAAGCACTAGTACTTAACTTTGTCCCATGATTAAATTTGGAGGAAGTATATTCTTTATGTAATTAAAGATACTTAAAAAATTAATTAATACTTTTAACAATATGCAAAGTCTATTTAAAAAGGGAAAAATGGGACAAAAAATTTCCTTGTTAAAAACTTTAGTAATAAGAAGGATCTAAATTAGAGTAACTATATTTTATGTATATCAAATTTGTTAATTGATACACTACAAGAAAATGTTGAAGTAGCAGCGGAACATTTCTAGCGGTTCAACTAAACCGCTAGAAATTCCAAATATTTCTAGCGGTTTCTATAAAAAGCGCTGCAAAATACAGATGGTTTGACCATTGCCCACACATTTCTAGTGGTTACCACCTAACCGCTAGAAAATTAGAGCTAGAAAATTCCCCGGGCTTTGGCGGGAACTTGGCGCCAAATTTGTAGCGTTTACTTTCTAGCGGTTCAGGCCAATAAACCGCTAGACACCGAAAAATTCTAGCGGTTGATGCATGAACTGGTAGAAATATTTTTCATTCCCCGAGGAGTTTACAAATTTCTAGCGGTTCGGTCCAGAACCGCTAGCAATTTCTGGCGGTTCGGTCCAGAACCGCTAGCAATTTCTAGCGGTTCTGGACCGAACCGCCAGAAATGCTAGCGGTTGGACCGAACCGCTAGCCAATTCCCGAGGCACATGTGACCGTTGGGAATTCCTAGCGGTTCGGCCCAAACCGCTAGAAATTTCTAGCAGTTTGGACCGAACCGCTAGGAATTCTCGGTCTATATATACCCCCCACACTCTCACTTCTTCAATCGTTCTGGAAGCGAAGCTCTGCTGAATTTTCTCCACAAACATATTCGAGTTCTGATTCAGTTGCAGATCCTTATTTTCAGGTAAAAATAGTAATTATTGATAAATACTTTTTATTTATGTTTTATTTTATTTATTTTATTATGTTGTAGCTTATAAATAATTTTTCTTTTTATTTCATTTATAAATAATTACTATTTATTGTTATTAGGATGACTCGTCGACACGGGAAAGACCCAGTTGATCCTGAGAGAGCTGGACCCAGTGAGGTTCATCATGATGCTGGTGAGCCATTCCCCAGCATTCATGACTACGATCTTAGCGAGGAGGATATCCTCAGTTTTATGGAGCAGGATGATGTTGAGCGGACTGAGGAAGCTCATTTTACTGGGATGAGCAACCCCATGCTGATGCTGATGCTGCTGACGAGGAGGAGGAGGAGGAGCAGGATCAGGGGAATGAGTATCCCCAGGCTGCGCAGCGTCCTGCTCCGAGACGTCAGGCTGGTTATAAGGTGGAATTTGTCGGTAAGTATTTATTTAACTTTTTAAAGTTTTGATCAGTATTTAATTTATATAGAAATTGTATTAATTTATTGATATATAATTTATTTCTTAATTAAATTTGCAGACACTGAGGGGAACAGGTCCTATCGGAGGCTGACAGCCAGAGAGCTGTCTATAATGACGAGCGGACGAGTGGTTGTGCCGCTCAATGAGTTGGGCCAACCGACAAAGAAAGGTGGCCAGTTGTACAACAAGTACGTGCGCCTCCTTGGTCAGCAGTGGACGCTGTTCCCCATCTACGTGCAGGACTGGAAGAAGATCACCTCAGACAAGAAGCAGCAAGGCTGGGAAATAATGAAGGTAATATAAAATTGTTATTTATAATTTTTTTTAATTTAAATAAATGATTATATATTTTGTTTTCAAATAATTTAATTGTTTGATTATAATTTTTTATTTATTTAATTTGTTTGTTATTTATAATATTTTTAAAAGTAGTTAAATGAATATATATATTTTTTATTTAAATTATTTAAAAGTAGTTAAATGAAAATAATTTGTTATTGATTTCATTAATTATTACTTATAATAATTTTAAATTTAGTTGAGTAAAAATATTTTTCATTTAAATTACTTAATTGTTTAATTATTATTTGTTTTTGATTAATTTATATTTTATTTATAATATTCTTAAATTAGTTAAAAACTAATTATTTGTTTTTATTATTGAAATTGCTTAATTATTTGTTTAAAATTTGTTATTTAGTTAATTTATTATTTTAATCATAGAGTAAATTTATTCTGGGGGAGGAGTTGAGGGCTGACACGATCAAGAGGCTCGGGATGGCATGGAAGAACAGGAGGGCCGACCTGTGGAGGGAGAAGAAAGGTGACGGGACGAGGCCCCTCCAGGAGATACTGGCAGATGTACCTGGTGGAGTCCCGGACCAAGACTGGTCCAGTTACGTCTATTTTAGGATGACGGCTGACCAGATGGTATGATAATATTGTATTAATTATAATTTCTTTATTTTTATCCGACTTGACTCATTTAATTTAATTTTTTTACATTTTGCTTCAGGCTCTTTCTAGGAGAAATGCTGGGAGCGTCAGGCATCAGACGATACGTCATAGGGCTGGATCCAGGAGCTTTGCGATCACTTATGACGAGATTGTGAGTACTTGAAATAAATTTATTAAATATGTATATGTATTTAATTTGTAACTAATTATTTCTTTG